AAGGGTTGTATGAAGGCCATTTGAATGAATCTCGTAGTAGAAGTCATCTGGTAGACCATATCTCGGAATTCTTCATCGTCGATCAGTATGAAAGGTTTACATGAGGATATTGTTGCTTCATCACTTTGAGTCCAGATCTTTATGAGCATGTCTCAAGCGTGCAGTAGAGTGGACAGTGATTCCACATAAAACTGCTTTTTTCTTCCTCTGTGCTGATAGCGATTTTGTGGTGACGAAATTCGATCCGGATGCTGATACGGATATCCGATGACAGATTCGGAAGAATGAGCCTCTCCACTACGTCGTCTGTGATACGATTGACTGGAACCTGAGTCAAAGAATGCTGTCACAATCGTAGCTTCTCGAGGTACTTGATGAGGTTGAAAAGGCGTACCGGAGTACACATCAGCGTCGCTTGTGTAAGCAACATTTTGTTATTGACATGTGAGTCTGTGGGTCAAACGGGTTGCATCTTTCTTTGCCGAATGACAGTTAGGGTCGTCTCATTTGTCGCTGTAGTTACGGAATCTTGGTGGATTTCAAGTATAGTCTGGTGAGGTAGTGTTCTTTTTTGTGGACGTTCTCGTTCGTAGCTTCACTGTGCGAAACAGAAGAATAAATGATAGCGTCTTACACACAATTTGCAGGACTGTTTGGAGCCACGGTCGCCTAATGTACGCTGACTAAGAGACAAGTGCAGCAGTGGTGCAACTTTTTGACTAGATGACTTTGCTCATGTGTCGTCGTGAATGCACCGCATGTAAACGAGCGGCGGTCAGGGTTTGACAACAAGGGAGCGCCTTCGCTTTGTCGGTGATCTTTTGAGTGTTGATCGTGGTACGGCTTGACATCCGTCAGTAGGAGAATAGTAAGAGATGTACTGGCTTGAGCGAGCATGATAGTCTATCCCAAGGTGTGTGGCTTCCTTACGGACTATATCTGTTAGTGAGTGAAAGATTCACTTGGTGAGAGATTGTTAGAGTCTAGCCATAGATTTGGCTTCTCACTCTGGCAGGTAGCATGTTGAGGAGAATTGCACCCAACCTGTTTCTGAAGAATCGTCCTGTCCGTCGGTGAACTGTCGAACCAATGCGAACATTTGATTGTATAAGGTCTGTAGGTTGCGTCCTTCTGGATCGCAATTAGGTAAATGGACAACTCCGTGTAGAGGATGCGTCTCATAACCCCGTCATCGTAATGAGTTGCTAGGATATCCAAGGCAATCTTGTAGTTCAACGGTGTCATTGACAGGCCTTGAAATAGATTGCAGAGCGCGACCGCGAGAGGCAAGATTTGAGCAGAGAAAAATTCGCTATGTCGTCAAGCTGGGTTCTGCTTCCTACTAAAATAGCCTCGCGGAGAACACTGGATAGTTGAGAACGTTGCCATCGAAGCTCCAGCTTACTGAGGATCGACGCGTCGACGAAGTTCAGCATTACTGTGTTGCTCATCGGAACATACAGTCCTCATCATTGCGGACCGGTGGGGCGTGTCAGCCAGAAGGAGTGCGCACACTGTTGAAGCCGTTCTCAGCCTTTTTGTTGAAACGCGTATGCGACAAAAAGTGGTAGAAAACGAGTAATACGAAGGATATAATACAGTAATGCACTTGCCCGCTAAAACTGGTGCAGAACGATTTTGCCAAACCGCACCAAAGCAGCCGCACTGCCACGCCCCACCGCAATGATGAGGACTGCACATCTCACGTTCTTGGTCAGCAGCTTGAGTGCCATGTCTGTCTTGTGTTGTCTGCACTGGCACACCTCGCTTCCTCGCAAAAATCGCATTCTGGTCGCAAAAACTGAACTCACTCCTACCTGGGAGGAATCAAACGTACTGATAAACCACATTGATATTTTGGGTGGAGGTAAGCAAGTGAGGGTTCATTCTTCTGTAGGATACAGAAAGAAGCACTGAGACGCCGAATAGAGAGAAACGCGAAGTGCTGCTCCAAATTGCGTTTTGACCTGTGATGCGCCGAGTGCAGAGAAAGACGTTTGTTACAGGAAAGTCAAATGAGCGAGTGCAGGTAAAGAGCACAAGGTGCGGAAACACTGGATATGGCTAGGTCAGTGGCCTATGAGACGCAGCATCGTCGCAAACGGAAAAGCTACAGTTACAACGCTGAGCGAGGAGATTGGAAAAGTGATTGAGGTTGTGAAGGCGATAGGCTCAAAGTTCAGAAGCAATCTCGCGATCATGAGCTTGAATCGCGGCAAAATAGCATGTACAGTGTGGAGCTCAAATACACAATTTCATCATTCTCCATCGAAAGAGAGCATTTTAGTACTGTCATTTCCCCACATTAATAAAATTTATTTGTGTTCAACCTTTCGAAATGCCCATTCTACAGAGGCTGTGGTCCAGGACAGCGTAAAAGAGTTCCTTGTTGTTTCTATTTTGGATATGACGTTCTGGCGATCAGAAAAGAAGCTCAGATACTATATGATGCATTGCAGGTACGAAAAAACCCAGGGAGTTCGTTTTTTCTTTCTTGGAAGCAAAGATGATCTCATATTTATTTCTCAATTTCCTGATGAAACGAAATGTTCAACCCGTCGTCGCATCGCGGCGAGGGAGAGGCGGACTGCGCGGCATTTCCGACATGGGCGTGGCATTTGCGTCCGTCCACTGTGATAATCCTGAATGAGAAGATTATTAGGATAGTGAACGATGTTTAACTAATAATGCAAAACAATGTGTATATTTACACTAGCACAAGGTTTAGTGCATATAAGAACCACCAATTTTTCAACAAGCTGGAAGGGACCACTGTCTGCTTGTAGAAAAACGAAGAACGCGAAATGAAACTTATGAAAGTGAAAGGAAATACTTCTGTTAATAAAGGATCACCAAAAGGAAGAAGGGCAGCATGAGTATCAACGAAACACTCCATCGTGTGGAGGAGATATATAATACACATTGAAGACACATTTTTCAGCTTTAACTAGTTGAAATATCATAGTGATTTCATGAGGACCGCGCCACTACACTTATACCTGCCTGTAGTGGGCATCCTGTAGGTACCAGAAAAAGGCCGCGCTTCTGAAAAATAGACTCAACCCATAGTTTATGACGTGAGCAGGAAAATTAAAGCAGAAACGTCTGGCACATAGTGAATAAAATACCAAAAATACTATCACGGTCAATAAAGTAGTCAATGGATGTGGCCTATCACCTATAATGGTTGGAAAGAAAGTCCTGCGACACTCTGACCAAATTTTCGGACCAAATTTTCCTTCACTAAAGACACTCCAATCTACAAGGTAATCACCATTAATGACTAGGACTAGTGCCCACCTTTTGCACAGCTTCTCATTTCCATTCTTATAGAACTACGGCAACTATGATAAAAAGAAGAGGTGGACCTCATTTTTGAGTAGACGTCGATTTTCGGAATTTTTGCTTTCTAAAGGATGCGGTAGGGATCAAGGAGGTGGTAGTTAGAGGCTGCTAACTTTGGTAATAAGCTGGGTACGGTCGCATTCTCTGATCGAGATCCATGATCTTTTGGCGTAGCCTGATCCTCACATGGGTCTTCGCATTGCCGAGTGGTGGAAAGAGTTTCTGCATGAATTCAAGCGTGACGTCATCCATGTTTTGATGTTAATTAGTGTAGACTGTGGCCGACATTGGTATGCTAGTACCCAGGGATATCCCTCTGAACAACCCACCAACCCCACTAACACAGTGAAATCTTTATTCCATGCACATGTGCATTTAGCTAAGCAATCTACTTTCTTTATTCCATGCACATGTGCATTTAGCTAAGCAATCTACATTTCTCTTTGAGAGATTCTGCGAAGGTTATGTGCATGGTGTGCGCAAGGATTCCACCACTCGCTACCAACCACAAGATCTCACACAGTGCTTCTACAAGGAGTCCAAGCGCAGTAATAAATGGAGGCAAACTTTTCTTCAGACAAGCTCAGGTGAGAACTGAAGTAGTAGTGACGGCAAAATCACTTTTTGCCACGTTTGCGCAACAAGCAAAAAAGTTAAGCTCAGCAGGGATCCGATCCCATGACCTGTTGCGTGGTAAACGCATAACTCCGTTCAGAGAATCGCTTTGCAAATTTTGAAGGCAGATTCAAGATCAGCGTCCAAAACCACGTCTAGTGATCTACATCTCATCACAAATGGCCACTTCGACCTGACGACCTTCCCTAGTTAGAAAGCAATCTTATCCGGATCGACGACTTTTCTTCGCTGAAGCTTATAGCAGATGAGATTGATTTATTGAAAAAAAAACAGAAGTCATGAGCTAAAAATCTTCAATGTTCAGTAGTGAAGTATATTCACTTTACTTTCCGCCTTGCTCTACCAATGGTGATCGAGCAATGATCGATTTAGGAAGAAATTCCGATGAAATTACACGCAGAAAACGAATTATCGTAATCCAGAGAATTGTTGCACCTCTGAAATTTCATCATCGAAGAATTCAGGCAGCATCGGAACGCATCCTTCTTTGTGAAGTGAATTGTCTTCCAGTGCACGAATTCATACAGGGAAGAGAGCATACTGGAACTATTCATCGGAAGGCGAGTCGCGGAACGACGGATACCACAGGTTGATCCCGGAATGAATGGTCCCTGTACTTACAGACAGGACAAAGAGCACGTCTTGTCTCCGAGAGGGAAGCGTGGATGTTTCTCATGTGACATCAACTTATAATTTGTAACATTGCAATTTGTCGGGGGCGGCGAGCGCAGCGCGGCACGAGCTCGCGTCCGGCCGCCTTGCTCTACCAATGGTGATCGAGCAATGATCGATGTAGGAAGGAATCAGCCACTGGTGGGAAGGCCGCAGGTGGGAACCGCTGATTCTGACATGTCGCGGTGATATAAACTGTATGGAGACCACAGGGACCTCCCAATCATTGAAGAGCCCAAAAAATTCAAGAAATTGCGGACCAAACATATACACGAGGAAGGAGTCCTGCAAAATTGTTTGCGCGAGATCTGTCCTTGAACTGAAAATTTCTGAGAGAACGCTGTTTTTCACTTACCCAACACTTCGAGAGTATACGCTTGGCGCGCTGTTCCTGCCTCGTTCGTCGCTTCACAAACATATATGCCAGAATCGGAACTTCGCGCTTCGATAATACTGAGCTTCTGAACAAAAAGTAGACGCACATCTAAGTAGCGGGAAAATGCACAGAGTCACAATAACCAACTTTCCCTTCTGAAACATAGCGGAGTCCTTGTACTCCGCTTTCTACTCGTAAGCCATTTCTTAACCAACTGATGACAGGAGTCGGATAGCCCTCAGCCGCGCATTCAATACTCGCCAGTTTACCCTCGGCTACTGACTGTGTTCCACCACCGGGAATCATGGGAGCTTCTGTAAAGTGTAGCAAAATTTGCTAGATTGCAACGAGGTTTCAAATGGGCTACACTTACGCACAACGCTGACTGTGTAGAGGATAGTGTCACTGCCGGCTATGTTCAGCGCCACACATGCATACGTCCCTTCATTTTGTTGGTTGATATTGGAAATCTGGAGCCGTTTTTACAGTAGATGGTGGCTTCATTACTCAAGACATTGATTCACCTTGATGAACTTATTTTTGAATCCTAGCTCAATCCTGTCCGCCGAAGTAGCAATTTCACTGTTGTTAACATACCTAAAGACGAACATCTTCATTCATTGAAGCTACACCGCTTTCTTGAAATCCGCGGTAGTAAGAGAGGCAGTAAATTCAGATTACTATGAGAAATTCAAAACAGAAATCAAGATAAGTAGAAGGATGACAAAGATTTTCTCGAGAAAAAATTCGCGTCACATTAAGAAGTTGAAATTAGAATAAGGAGCTCGCGAAAATCTCGCGTCACTGTGGAGGAGATCAAAGTAAGCCGAGTCGTTCATATTCAACGATACTACTAGGCGCTCTGCCAGGATCTCGAAATGGTTTTCAGTTACAATCTTGGACGGCTCAAGCTAGCTACTCATCTGAAGTTAATGGGCTCATGATAACATCTATAAGAGCATGCGTGCAAGATGTTGTCAATTTTTCAAAATGAGATATCTATGAAAACAAGCTCAAGGTTGCTCGCCCCAATAGGAATGATGGACGGATGCCTCCTTCGCCCGATGAAACCTAGTGAATGGTTTAACTCACTCTACTTTCTGAGAAATGAGCCGAATAGCCGAAAAGACATACTCGGAAAGTTTTTGAGCGCGGTTCTTGCCTTTCTCCGTGCTATACGCTCCTGGTAGACCTTTGGGCATTTTTGATGGATGTCCTCCTCTCACTACTTCTTCAAAATAAATTATTAACATGAAGCTAACTACTGATAGAATCACTGACAGCTCGATGAAATGGAACTAGCGTTTCGTAAGCTTGTTAATAATTCAACCACATGCAGAGGTGGACAATTTCAAAGGAGCAGCACTAAGTTACATTCTTTTTGTGTCTACTAATTTTGCCTTTCCTTGAAACAAATATGTTCGTAACGTGCACTACGCTGTGGGCGTCCTGATTGAAAGAACTATTTTTTGGTTTATGAGAACAATTCCTGGTGATAATAAAGGATAGTAAGAGGTATAAACGGTCAAAGTGATCATAAAGCTGGTTTGCAAGCGTCTAGGTACAAAAAGAGCAGACGCGTTAAGGGTACATAGTACATTGGTGCTGTTCATGTCTATCTGTCCACCTGTCAGCTGCATCATGGTTGAACAGCCGCTTGACTAAGGAAGGGGTTGCATCGAGACTTCAGAGGGCTAATGCCGTTTGGACTCCAAGAATTTCGGCACCCAGCCCATGTGTAAATTGCCTAAGTCACCAAATCCGCCAAAAAACTTGTATATAGGGGTAGTTTAACATCTGATCAAGAATATGACATTCACTTTTGTCGCTGGCGTCAAGAGAGGACACTAGGCAGTGCACATTTGCTAGCGAGAAGCGAGCTTCTGCCAATATCGTGAAAGTCTTAGTTTCTGGAACTCATCGGTCATCATCACCTTGTTTTCCTCAGTGTTCCTCTCAAAAGAAGCTGTCAAGGTGGTTGAAAAAGAGAAAGTCGGTAGGCGAAAGGTCTAGTGAGGATGGTGGATGATCCTGAGTTTTGTAGTCCAACTTATGCAGCTTTTACTGTGGTCAGTGAAACGCGAGGTCTAGCGCTGTCAAGAAATGGGATTGCCCATTTTCTGTCTATCAGTGCATGTACTTCGCACTTATGGCGCATTTCGTAATTTTGTTGACAGCGCTTCTCTGCTGTGATCGTTTCGCCCAGGTCCAAGAAGATGGAATGAATCATACTCGCTGCTGACCATGAAACCATCTTCTTCTGACGGTCTTTCGTCTTCGTATGAGTCTTCGTGGAGTTCCTTTTCAGTTCAGCCACTGAACAGATCGTCTCCTGTTACCATGAGCTATTCATTTCTCATCGCAAGTCTCAATGCGTTCGAAAAAAGGATCGTTGGCACTGCCAAAAATAGGAGCCGACAATATCTCAAAATGACGATTTTTCTGACATTCTCTCAATTCATATGGCATTGTCTAAAGCCACTGGCAAACGGATAGAATAGGCTTTCCAACAATGCGTAATACTTTGTGGAAAGTCTTCGATTTTTGAAAGGAGAAAAGTATTGAAATCTATACAAAACACCTGTCTCTTTCGCACCAACCTAATATCAGAAACTCTAACTCAGTCAATAATTACAAAATATGAGCTCCGTCGACAAGTAGAGTGGTCGCGGCGAAAAGGAAAATTCTGAACAAGTTCGAAAAACGGTCATTGTGAAACGAGATGGGAAGCGAAGGAAGAGCAATTATCAATAAAGAAAAAAAAATACAACAAAAAAGTTGTGACCACGCTGTGCCTGTGGTTACAACTCGAATAAAATCTGGTGGTACTGGAGAGGCGATTAAATGGATAATGCTCAACATTCAGCGAAGCAGGTGACCAGTGGTCTCGCGTCCCGCTCCTAATTAGAGCAGGACTTCGACGTTCCTACAAAGTCTATGACGGATATGAACACTCTACTCTTTAAAATGTTTACCATTTCATAACGGGTTCCGGACTTCCACTGGCATTGCAGCTGAGTGTGAGAGACTGACCGGTTGGAAGACGCGGTGACACATTTACGAGATCTCTATCAATGAGAGGAGGGACTAAAAACTATGGTGCAATAAAAGATGATTCAAGACCACTGTAATGGATAATGGAACTACCAAAGACGTCGAGAAGAACCGTTGACTCTGCACTTCCGGCCTCATTTCTGGCTACACATGTATAGTTCCCTGCATTGTGACTCTTCAAGCGCTCAATGTTCAGATGAGTTCCCTTAAAAATTACATAAAGAAAACTAACCAATTTCACAAGCAGTAACACTCATGGAGTCATTACGTCGTGGCTGAGGTGAACGCCACTTGCTTCATCGTTGACGGGGAGCTCTCCTTTGTTCCACCTTATCGATGGGGGAGGATTTCCTGTCGCTTTGCAAACTAGTGTTACAGCATCACCCACAACTGTCACATCTGCATTAGAGTTCACTTGTACTGAAGGCGGAACTGAAACAATTTCTACTCACGCGGTTGTTGAACAGACATGAGAATGGGTGCTAATAAGTAAAGCTTATTAGAAAAATCCCGCGGAAGCAATACCGTTGGACCTATTCGATCCCCAAGCACTCAGTACGGGGTGAAATCGGGTTTTATCGTGCCATATGTTTCCTTGTAGTGCTAATGCTGCCATTTACTACATTGATTACTAGGTGCAAATAATTATTAGATACTTTATATGAGCCTTTTCTAATTAAGGTGCATTTTTCTAAACAACCCTTCGAACTCTTTGTACATGTCGTTTCCAGTTCGATTACGATTAAGAAGCAGGTCGTCAGTATGCCTGTATGAGAGGAACAGTTTTTTTAGCTCAAGGTTCAGACCAGGGATGTCTTATAAGTCACGATGCGCTTTTCAGAAGCTGCTTGTTGGCCTATACATGGACCAAAGTTTTCTTTTTGGTATGCATCTTTGGGAATGTCAAAAAGTGAGTGGAAATGAGGCTAAGAAAAAGCTAAGAAAAAGCAGTTTGAGCCATACTGATGGGCTTTACGACCAACTGTAACGAAGCATAGCTTGTGAGATGTTGAAAACAACGCATAATTGGGTCAAAAAACGGCACTTCAACTGGCATGTAAACAGGCAGGTTTTCCCAGTGATCCCCGCAGCATCACTTTCAGCAAACAGGGGCTATTTAGTGCGATGCTGGCCCCAAACCGCCAGGAATAAGTGTCGGAACCATGATCAGAGCCATCAATTGCTCGCCTGTACAGAGATTCAGCAAGTTTTGTTTTCGATACTAAATTCTAAAGAGAAAGAGTTCTTATGCACATCATCTACACGTGAAAAGTCGAAAAAACAAGTTCCGTTCAGCCGGCAGGGATAGAGAGAGAGCTAATCAGTTTTTTCATGGAAAACTGGACGATAGGAGTTAAACAAGGTTGCGGATGCTTGTGCACGCTCCCTGTGGCCAATATGGCGTTTTTTCAACTACATGCTGAATTTGAGGAGAGAAAATTTGCAGCTGTTGGCCTTGCCTATGATCTAAACGGATAGTGAGATGTGGGAGTTCGGGTGTCATTGCTGACCAAATGGTCGGTCCATTCACATTAGGGAGTCTCGAAAAAGATTCTTGTTGAAATTTCAACTATTGCTGTAATTGATGGCCCCGAATCACGATTCTGACACTTATGTTTGGTGCCGAGGCCGTGCGCTAGCATAGCGCTGAATGGTCCCTGTGTGCCAGTTGGAACTGTTTTAGAGCAAGAAAGCTCTTGCACCAAATTTTCAGTAGATTGAGCCTTAGTCAGGAACGAGTTGCCATCATATTACATGTATCCGGACTATATCCATTAAGGGGACACACAGGGACACAAGAAGATGTATGTTGTACGCACGCAATGTACGCTGCATTGTAACATCAGTATTGTGTTTTTATGTTGTCACTTCAATTCGGTTCAGCTCTCTCATCCAATGAATCTTCTCGTCTAGTGTTGTTTTGCAATAACTACATCTAGAGTAACTAGCAGCTCACCAGTAACTACCAGGTTTTCCATTCCTCAGAGGATAATTGATTGGTCCAGACTTCTCAGGGAGTATAGAAACAGCGACGTTCACCGCATCGACTGCACCCCATAGTTCATTTCATATGCTAATTCACATTCAGAAACCTCTGAGGTGCTAAATGGAAGCAGTTCAGCATCCTTGACAAGTGATTCGTGGACGGTGGAAGCTGTTTGTTGTCCGAGCTTTTCGATGGAGTAATGCATTGCATTGCACTGCCAACACATTTGTTTCCATCACGTTCCACAGTTCTATGTCCTTCCCAGAGCCCTACAAGTTTTGAAAATGGGTCCGCTACCAAAGTGGTACTGATGTGCCCTGTCTCAATATTCTTCAACATTCGTCAACTACTACAATGCCGAGGTTCATTGGGAGCCGAAGTCGGCGAATTCAAAATATACAATAAGAAGGCACGGGTGCTGCTCCGGCTATAGCGCAGCCTTCCGTGTGTTCGAAGGCGAACTAGGCAATCGACTGATAGATTTATTAGTTTGGTAGTGTCCGAGGACACTACTCACTAGCTAGCGCTAGATTAGACTGGATCTTCTTAGCAATAGCCGGCCCTTATATAGGGGCTCGAAGGGGCGGAACCGGAAGTACCACTGGCCATTGGTCCGTTTAAAGGGATGACGCACTTGGCCTGAACAAGGCATCGACTGCCCGAGCACGCGAGTCGCATATCAATCGCTTCGGCTCATGTCCCTAGGAATTGAATGGAGAACGAACAGAGAAGCACAAAACAAGAACTTTATAAGAACAACAGAGGGTAACAACAAAAGGTAATAAAATGAACATGAAACTTAAATCCTAAAAGAAAAACTATGTCCTACATATCAATATTCTTGGAACTCGCTTTCCTAAGGAGAATTCAAGTTAGAAGCGCAAGTTTTAATGTGCAGTTGAAAGAAGTTCCCGTCAAAAACGCTCGATCTTGGCTTCTTCCCAATGTTTTGCTACCGCGTATAGCTTCCACCGAATGCATTCAGCTATTCCACAAAACACGTAACCTAGAAGCCATAACGAAATTCGACGTGGTTCAAAAAAAGCGACGTTGTGTGTTTCGAGGAGGTCACAAGAAGGCTTGAACCTACAGTGTGAGGGTGCCATAGTGGCCGTCGACAACAGCGTTCTTCGACTGCCGAACTCGACTACTCATCTCTAGGACACGCATTGCCAGCAAGCCAAAATGCATGTCCGTCATGACATCGCTCAATCACCATTGCAAAGACAATGAATGATGAACAAGTGATCTGCGACTGGGTAACACTTCTTCAGCCATACATATTTCTCCACTTCCCTCGCCTTCAATTTCAAGCTTACCCTTCCGTTTCGGCCACAAAATTTACATCATCTTCCGGGACATCAAATCGAGACCTTCTCCAGGTCCTAGCTCGCCGCACTCTCGTCGAGGGACACCCACGACCTACCTGGATATTGGCTGAAGACAACCGATGTCAGCAGAGTGTATCACCAGTAACTCGCTGGCGGCCGGAAACTAGGGAACTGCTCCTTCACAGGTGTGCGTATCTTGCCGTAGAGGAGTGCAATAAGAACAAAGAACTTATTTACCGTGCCGTTGCTCTCAGCGACGTGGCACGGCTCCATGTACTCTACGGAGTATTGCTGACTTTTCGACTTTGCTGACCTTGCTCGTACTCACGAATCTTTCTACTGATTGCAAGGCTGCAGTAATTCGTCGGATTATGATAATCTTGAGTTCGTCGAAGGTATGAGTGTTCTGTGAAGCCACAATACTTCACGAGCTCTGTTGTCAGGTGAATTTCTCAGACTTCTTCCATTGGACGGCTTTTAGGGAGAAGGACGCGAAGAAACGATGGTAAGCCAGAAGAGCGCGGAGAAGGCCGCTGCGGTTTCTAATGAACAACAAGATTAAACCGCCTCTCCGTGCATTTGGTTTCTTAATGACGTACTTTGATCGGGCAGCTCAAAACATAAGTTCAATTTGAGGTGCAGTGGTGAGCTCTTTCTCTCAAACTGCGTAAGTTCCGAGATCGATACACAAAGGAACAACCAACCGCAAATCACAGGAAACCAGGATTGCAACACATCGTTATAAAGTATGTAAGAAGTGCTACGAAAGTGGTTGCATAGTAAAACCGTTCACGCGATTCGAATGCAGGAAACAATGCAGGGATTAATTTCCGCGATTCCTCCACTGCCAACATCGCTAACATTCGGAGCGGCTAACTCATTCTTTGACACGTTTATTGTGAAATATCTGACATTGTATTGAATAGTGGTCACGAAGAGTTTTTACCTTCTCCTATACTGTTCGATCTACATACGAGAAAAAACCTATTATCTGACAATTTTCCAGTCACTACTTATTGTAGTTTAATTTGAGGTGCAGTGGTGAGCGATCTACCGGCTTGCAATTTTAATCAGTAACAATTTAATTAGTAAGGGAGACTGAGATTAAAATTGCAAGCCGGTAGATCGCTCGCTTAGCGCCTACAAGTGAAAAAGGCAAGTGGCATCCCGTGTCCTGCGCATCAACACGGCTGCGAAGTCGAATTACTACGTTGTGATGCATGCTTTGACATCCGTCGTGAGCAACTCACACCCCGGTCCATCAGTTCTGGGTACTGTCAGTTAGTCTGACATCGCTGTGCGAACACAGTCCTTCTTCACTGAAAGTAACGACGGCTACGAGTTCCGCTGCACAAGCTTCGATTCCTTCAGCTAACCATGAAAACCCAGGTTTCGAGATGTTCCCAGAAAAGTCCCAGAAATTGAAATTGGATAAATAC